TGTGGAACAAGAGAGAGAAAAGACTCTCAAAGACTATGGCTTTCAGACAGGAGCTGGCTCAAATCATTCTCTTAAAAAAACAGCTCCAGGAGCTTAGGTTTCACAGTGAAAATGGAGGGCAACATGTTATGTATGATGTTGCTAGTATCATATTAGATCTATTTTAGATATAGTTGAGTTGAGTTTACCTGAGTTGAGTTTGATCACTTCAGTTTTGTCTGAGTCAGAAGGTAAATATTCAAATGTATCCATGTCTTTGTTAAACAACTTGTTTTGTTTCTGCTGCCAGCATGGATAATACAATAGCATATTGTATTATGTCTTCAAATAATGTGGCTTAAAGGATGCATTAACTAGTCAGATGAAAGAGGACATGTAACAGTATAATGTAATCAATATGGTTACAGTCTGCAGTAAAGATATATATATATATATATATATAAACAGAGAGAGAGTTATACGATTTGAGGCCATGGTTGGGTTGTTAGCAACTAAACTGTGATCTTTTTGTACGATAATTTAAATCCTGACTCTCTTCAGCAAGCATTTGCATTGACCTTTTCTAGAATTTTGCAGAACATAATGAGATTATACATGGAAACATTTCCTTAATAGCTTAAGGTTTTTCACTTTTTTAAACTTTTGTTTTGGACATACCCTTCTCTTCCAGATGGCTGACGGGGAGCTGGTAAAGAAGATGCTGCGGGCCATCCTCCAAACAAACAAGAGAGGTGTTTCTTTGTCACATCTTCAATCTGAGTACAAGGAGCTCACTGGGGAACAGATACCTCACAGACAAATGGGACACAACAATCCAAACACGCTACTTGCAAGCATGCCTTCTGTAGTCCGTGTGGAGCGCAGCCACTCTGGAGAGGTTTGTGTGTGACTGTATTTTATTAATGTCAAACACAAGTGGTTTCACCTAAGACAGTATCTTAATGATAATGTCTGCTACACTGTCCTCAGATTCCATTTTTTTTTAACTGTTAAAAATAACTCTCAGCTTCATTTGGACCTGGTAATAAACAAATACCTGTGGCTACGTGAAAATACCTTTCTCAGCCATATTGCATCTGAATATGTAAATAACAAATGTTTTTTTGTCCAGATGATCTATTTAGTGTCAGAGGCCAATGAATCAGCTAAAATAGCCAAGGTGGTTGCTCGCCAGCGTGCCTCCAAGAAAACAGGTCAGCCCCACCTTGTGAACACCAGGATGAGAGTCAAGTCAGCAGCACCGCTCACCATGAATGGTGAGATTATAACACGCAACCAAGCTTCGTCATTTTAGCGAGATAATGAAGACATTTTCTGAATACCTTTTCAAGCCTTGGGACGACCTGCATTTCGTCCCAAGTATATCACAGACACAAAAACACTCCTAAAGATACATGCAGTCTAACAAAAACTCTGTTCCTGCGTTCGTAAAATATATCCCCCTGCGCTGCATACACCTCCACTAAACTGATGCTGCAGAATATTCTTAGTGTCAGAGGAGGATGCAGGAGCCGGTGGTGCAAGAGGCAAAGAGAGAGAGAGAGAGAGAGCAGGGAAAAGAGAGTAGAGCTATATCAGCAAAGGGTCTGCAAGAAAAAGAAAGGCGGTGGGATGTGAAATGGTAGGGAGTGAGGGAGCGGATATAAGGAGGAGGAAGCGTGGGGTGGTAGCTGAGACAGAAAAGCAACTGATTTCCAGATCATTCTCTCTCTCCCTCACTACTCTTCATCACTGTCTAGGGATTGATTGTTATTCAGCAAGAGACAGACGAGGAATTGTGTGTCTACTCAGCCGGTGAGGTGATGTGGTGTCTGCTATATTTTGTGTGTGTGTGTGCCTGTGTGTGTGCTAGTCTGGCCCATATCTGCATGTTAATTTAAGCTGTTTCCTGTCTGCAAGTGTGATAGCTGAATTCTTTCTGCTGTGTTTCTTTGGGAGATGAGTCGGCTATTTAACATAGAGTGCAGTTAACTGGTCAGCAAAATACATTGATAAGATACAAATACCATAAAACAGAAGTAAAACTTGTCCTTTTATGAGTTTTATAATGTTCATAATTTTAACTGGCTTTTGGTTTTGTGGCAATTTATAGGGGATAAAAATAAAAAGAGGGAATTAGAGTGCATGAGAAAGTTTTAGACCTTTCTGAGAGAAGATGATGCAAAGAGTGAATATGAGAGAAACACTAGGAGAAGGAATGTGAAAGAAGATGACAAGGCAGTTACAGTGGACTATGACTAATGACCAAGGACCCTTTACAAGAAGGCATGAAGCTGATGTTATGTAGCAGAATGAAAACCTAAACATGAATATGAGCTCATTTGAGTATTTGCAGAGTCAATGTTTGATTTGGACTTTATGGTCTGCTATTAAAATATGGTCTAGTCTTGTTGACGCAATTAAATGTATTTTTTATGATAATACACAAGTAAAGACTTTTAGGAATAAAATGTAATTATTTTCATATCAACATACTTTCACCGTAATTGTTAGACTTCCATCACCGAGGCTGTAGTTTTATTTTTGTGTGCTTCCTTTCTCACTCATGCAGCCAAACCTCAAACCTCACTGAGGCAGCCAGGCAACCGCAGGCGAGGTGGTGGTAGAGCAGGTGGAGGCGGCAGTGGCAGTGGTCGAGAGTGGAAGGGACATGGTGAATTCAGACAAGCCAGGGATATGAGGGATGTCCTGTCAGATAACAAGGCTGGGACACATCCAAACAGAATGTCCAATCAGAACACACCCAACAGGAAAGGGAATCCACCTACAGAAAAGTAAGTGAGAAAGACAATTTTATGTGTTGAGTTAAATCAGTACTGGAGCAGGTTTTATTTGCTCTTGTGCAAACACTCAACAGTGTCAACATTGTATTGTACACTATCACTTTAACATTGGAGGAACGAGTGCTTCTCAGAGACATACTGGAAGCTACAGTAATAGATCAACTGTAACAGCATGAGTAGATGGTTCCGTCACTGGCTGGTTGTTATCATTTCATTCAAATGTAGTAGGGTTGGACAATAGTTTCAGTTTTTAGGATTTATATTGATATACTGTATTTTTAGATCTCTCTCTCTCTCTCTTTCTACTTACCTGACATGCCCACGCCTTTGTTTATCTAGAGAGTTCTTTCTACCTTTCACTCTCTTCATCTGCCTGAAAATGTTTGATTGTCCTTGGTTCATATCTAGACTGTTTATTTCTAAAATCCAAACTTTCTCCAGAAATATCCGTCCTCATACTGGGGATGCCATTTGCCATGGTTCTGTGATAGTAAAAACTGATCTATTCCTGTTTGGTGTCCTTCATTAATCTGTTAGAATGACTTAACAGTGATTGGAGATTAGTACGGCTCACTGACTCCTTCCCTGACCTTTATTCATCCATCGTTCTGTTTGTCTGGGCACATTTCAAACAACTGACATAAGTGCTCTGTCTGTGTCTCCATCAATGTCCAGTGGGCCATTGGCTCGCTTCAACACAATGAGACATTAGGGTGGGGGGCCTGGTGTGTTGGCCATAGACATGGACACAGAACAAGTGGTTGTAAGCCATGTCTAATCCCTGCTTTATTCTATCCTAGATTATCATTACTGAACCTACACACAGTGAGTCAGCACATCTCCGTGTCCCCTGTGCATGCTAGTTAGAGTGGGTTATTTTGACAAAGATTACTGACATTTATAATGACTTGAACCAGGAAAGAAATGGTAAAAATTCTTCGAACTGTGTTATCCAAAAAAATTAAAAATTCTTCGAACTGTGTTATCCAAAATCCAAAATGGCTGGTGCACTAATATTGTTTTTTAATTGCATTTAAATGCAATATGTTGGCATTTTTCTAGAGTGCTCTACTTTTTATTAACCCATGACAACATGGAAATCCCTTATTTGGTAAAAGGTTTTCAGGATATGTGCTTCTGAAATTGTACTGGACATAAAGACAGGACACAGTGAAAAACACAAGAACTCAAAGAACTAAAAATAGTACACTTCTAATCCAATCTGAGGGAGTTTGAGGGCATCCGTGAACAACAGCTTTGACTATTGAATCTAGGTGTGCAGGAGATGTCGTGGGAATTGAAGCTAAATATAAATATATCCTTTTGAATACGAAGTTGTGATTCAAAGAGACGTGCTTTTTTTTTAACCACAATATTTGCCTAAGAATGTACTTTAAGCTTCAGAAGATGAGTCTCTTGGTTGTAAAGAATATGGATATTTTACAAATGTATATTTTTTAATATGTTCTCACTTTGGCTTGTCTTCGTTGTCACACAGCCAATGTTGCACCCAGTGTGTAGTACCTCACAATCCATTACTCTAGAGTCTAGACCAACAGGGATGAGACAGTTTGATAAATGGACTGTGTTAATGAAGACAAGAGAGAGAGAAAAAAACACTTTAAATCTCAGCCGGCTTGTACTAACTTTCTGATGTTAGTGAAGACTTTCAAAAAGTTTCTTAAATATTTTAATTATTTTTCAATTTATTTAATGGATTTAAATGTGTTAAAAGACATTATTTTTAGTGTGTGATTTTTAATGGTGTTTTAAAGCAGTCCTTTATTGTGTTGCGTTCTCTCATTCGCAGATCAGACAAGAGGATGACCTTGCCATCACGATTCCAGAAAGAGGTACACACTCACCTGTCCAAAAACTTCCAACACAGTGCAGGTGAGTAGGAGTGGCTTCTCTCCTTGTTACTGCCAGAATTCAATTTGTTTTGGTCTTTTATGTTAACAAAATGTTGACCTTTTTAAATCACATAAACATGTAAAAATGAACCAGTCTAAAGGTTAATTACCTGATGTGTCCAACAGTTTAACTGATAACACCAACACACAACTAATGACAAGAATTACTTTAAAAAGTGTTCCCATTTTAGTGTGATGAGTGTGGATGATTCTTTGTGAATAAAGTAATGACAAGAATTTACAACTATATTTATGTGAATTTAGACTTACTTAACTGAAAATGGAAACTCACTCCTCTGTTAAAGTTGGTTTTGTTTTGAGCCTGAGGTTGCGTCGTGTCTGAGAAGACATCGTGACTGTCCATAATCCCTTTTAAAGGTGACGCTGTCACTGTTGATTCATTTAGTTTGCCACAGTCGGTGCATTGACTAGGAAACTGCTGGATGTTGCCAACTGCGTCATTGGTGAAGCCGACTTCAGCAAAAAAGGTTATGAGTTAAGCTCTAAAACCCTACAAGGTGTTAAACTGATGGGCCTTGATAAACTCAAACCTTGTTTATTGATATACTGAGTGATGTGTACAGGGGGTTTATACACTAAATCATGTTTTTTGGTAGCAGTAACCATTTGCATATATGTCAGTGTTTGAGAACTTTGCTCGACATTTCATTACAGCATCCTTAAATATGAATGAGAGGCTCACCTCCGGTAAAGGAAAGCCCTATAACCCTCAGCAGGTCCAGTTTCGCATCGGGGAGATCCTGGTGAAGTACAGCAATGGATTCTGGGTGTCGAAGCTGCCACAGATCTACAGGGAGCTTTACAAACAGGACTTGCCCAATGAGGCCATCAAAGACCTGGAGACCTGGACACACATATGCACTGTATGGACTCTGTGATTTACATAAATGTAGACTGTTAGGGCACAAGGACTTAGAATTTATAGTTACTGGCATTAACATAGAGTGATTACAAAATCAGAAACTGCACAATAGTATGTACTGTTTACATGTGTTATAATGTGCTGTTTTCCTGTGTAGGTAGAGAAAACCTGCGGCAGTAACCACTCTGACCTCCTTCTTTACCCGGCCAAGGAGCAGACCACTTTGTTCTCTTCACCTGTCACTAACACAAAATGCATCACTGACTCTGGCCCTGGCAAACACTTGCATTCTCCTGCCCAGTGGACATCTTCCTCTGTTTCTCACTCTTCTCAGTCTTCACCGTCGTCCTCACCATCATCCTCCAGCCCCCCCTCCTCTCCTGCCACCCTCAGTCCTGACCTTAGACTGAAACTGGAAGAGTTGTTAATGAAGTACTGCAATGGTCTCTGGGCACATGCGTTGCCCAAACTGTTTGAGGACACATACAAAGTCAGTAACACAATTTAGCTCACCATGACAAGAATGTTACCTAATTCTACTCTTGGTGCAACAGCTGTGATAAATATGTGTGTTTCTTTTTTTTATTTTAAGACCAAACTACCCAAACATGTCCTGGAGAACCTTCACCTCCTATCTGACATCTGTACTATTGATTATCCAATGCCTGACAACCCCAAGAGAGCTATCCTATATAGAAGAAGCAGTGATGGAGACAGAGGAGTAGTAGAGGGAGACAACTGCAATAGGAGAGACTCCTCAACTAGTGAAGAAGAGCTGAAAGCAAAGGAGGAGCCAGGGAGGAGGCCCATTGACCAAACAGTGCCTTCTCTGCAAATCCCCAATGAGGAATATCCATCTGTACTGGTGATGGAAGCGATCAACACTAATGAAGTCATACTCAGGTGGCAGAGAAGTGAACAGTGAGATCTTCCACGATGTTTCCAACTGCCTGTATCAATGTGTTGTTATTTATCAGGTACATAGGTGAAAATTACTCCCAGGCCCAAGAGTTAATGGAGGATCAAATGAGGGAGTTTTACCAAAGCAATCCAACGTCTGTGTCATCTCCATCTTTGGGCCAACTTGTTGCTGTCAGAGGCGAGGAGGAGGACGGGATCCTGAGGGCCCAAATCAGTGAGGTCATGGCCGACAAGGTCAAGGTAGGAGGTCAACATGTGAAGAAAATAAATATGAATGAAAATAAAGCAGTTGTTATAACAATTTAAAATAATGTATCATAGAAGAAGTATCATGTGTCACAGCTTATAAGGATTTCCAAAGTTGTATGCTTAATTTAAAAAAATAGATTGTAAATGTTAGAACTCCTTCCCAAAGTTTTGGTCAACAATTAAATAAAACATAAATTATTTTAATTACTATATTCCAGTTGTCATTTAATTTTTCACATTTTAATCTGTGAAACATATTGGTCACTAGCCAATTATTTGGGAAATCACCATTGAAATACTGTTCTATACTATGTTTTCATATTTTTAAAAATGATTCTGCCTCCTCTTTTTCTTTGCAGCTGTTACACAAACAATCAATTATAAATAAAGGATTTCTGATTTTACTTCTGGTTAACGTTTTCCGTCGTTTTTTGCCAGGTTTATTTTGTGGATCATGGTTTCTCAGAGGTGATTAGCAAAACCAAAATGTTTGAGCTCCATGAGAGGTTTTTCAAGCTCCCCTTCCAGGCCACCAAGTGTAAACTAGCAGGTGAGGCTGAACCAGGACCAGGAGGGTACCTAAAGAGTCCAGTCCTCCTTCTCTTTACAACTTTTTTCTTGTTTAGGGTTAGGGTCATATCTTTTGGTAGGTCCACCCTGATGTGATTCTGTTTATGTGTGTAGGTCTGGAGCCATTCTGTCAGGAACCAGCAGTCCTAAAGAAATTTGAGATGATGGCCAGTGGTAAGATCTTGTTGGCCGAAATTCTGGTGAGAAGTCCTACTCCTTTGGTCGTCCTGTATGACACATCGCAAGACGATGATATTAACATCAACGCAGCCGGCATGAAAGCTTTGCAGGACAAGACCCTGACAAGTCCACCGCAGGTACTCAAGAGGAAAGTGTTCATCAGTGCAAAGTGACATTGAACAGCACTATGAACTTTTTTTTTAATGTCACTCCTCAGGTTAACAGCGTTTACATGAATGTGACAGTCAGCAGTGTCTGCTCTGATGGAACCGTTTACTGTCAGCTGCCGTCCAGAGGTCTGGCCAAGCTGAGTGAGATACTGATGAAAATAGAGTCACACTTTCATTCACAGGTACACGCTCTCATTTTTTACTTTATACACAACCAACTCTAAAAATAAAACAATTCTTCCTTATGGAAACAAAGATTTAGGCATTTTACAATGTACGGAGGAGGGAAATTTTAAATGACCCCTTAATTTTCTGACATGGAGGTGCATATGCAAATTTATATTTTTAGCATGGCAGGTTTTGAAATAGTTGTAATGTTACTTTCTGCTTCCGGGGCAAGACCAGTTCAGATGAATAGGAGAGACTTTTAGTAAGGAGAACCATGTCTACTCAGCTGATCGATATTGCTCTGTGGAAATAGGAAAATGACAAGTATTTCATGCCAACAATTAAAAGTTGAATAAAACAAAGCGTTTTAGAGGCTGCAAATTTTGAATATTCTTTGTCCCTCCCGTCTTTAATCTTTTGCCTCCTTGTCACTATGTCAGAGGAATTATAACCCAGTATTGTCATTGTTGATTCACATTGTTATTGACTGTGAATCTTTTATGACATTTTATTTATTTTCTTCAGCTAACATCAGATCTGCTGGTATCCAAACCTTTCTGTGGAAAGGCATGCATGGCTCGCTACAAAGGCAGATGGTCTCGTGTGGAGGTAAAATGCTGCTGTTACATATGTTTATTTAAATTTGACATTAGTTTCACAGTCAAAAGCAGCTTCTGCTGTGAGCTGTGCTGTGGAGAAAAATTAAAATGGTGGCGTAACACAGGCCAGTTATTGTTCGGTTACTGTCAAAGAAAAGTCCAAAAACACCCCTGCTTGGCTTAGTCATCCTCCTAATAAATATCAATGTTTCCCCCTAGATCACCAACCTTCATGGGAGCCGAGTGTTGGACATCCTTTTTATTGACGTTGGTGTCCAAGCCTCTGTAGAGGTGATTGAGCTCAGAGAGATCCCACCACCCTTTCTCCGTGACCTTATGACGATCCCACCACAGGTTTTAAAAAGATAATTAACTATTGAAACTTTTTTCTGTACTCTCTGATACTTCACATACAGTAATACACTGGTATCTAACATTCCATGCTTCAGGCCGTTAAGTGCTCCCTTGCAGACCTGGCTGTCACCGTGGGATCCTGGACTTCAGAGGCCGTACAATGGCTTCGGGACAAAGTGCTCAACATCACTGACTGTAGTCTGAAGGTTAAAGCCAACCAACCGTCTTAAAAATCCATAAGCAGAACGATGATAAAATCACAGCTGACTTCCATACAAAACTCAAATAAATAAAAAGAAGTTTATCAAATGTATGTTTCATTTCCTTCCAGGTTGCCAGCGTGGATGAAACCAAGCGTTTCATCAATGTTTACCTCTTCACTGATAAGAATTTCCACGATCCCACCCACAGCCTCAACCATCAGATGGCGCACTCTGACCTTTTCCGTCAGCAGCCGGATGTTTTCCTGACCAGTCACAGGTTTCTTCAACTTTTTGCACACCTCATTCTCAAATTATTTATTTTGTCATATGCACTGAATGTCTGGCTTTTCACTTCATAGCTCTGCAAAAATCTCTACAGCCACTTTATCTTCCACCAATGATGGCACTAATGGCATCCCACAATCCACCACTGTCAAAGACAGGCCTCATCTCAAAAAGCCTCTGCCAGGACATGGGGATGGTGGAGAAATTAAAACAAACATCACAACTCAACAAGAAACATCAACCTCTCTCCAGTTGCCACAGTTACTGGAGTTACCTGCAGTTGGTAAAATCTACAAAAAATCCCAAAATATGGTTAATTCTTGGCTTCATCTGAGATTTTGTTTTTAATTCTGCTTTTTCACAGGAAACAACATGGATGTGTTTGTGTCGGTGGCATGTCATCCGGGTCACTTTGTGCTGCAGCCTTGGAGAGACATGTACAAACTGGTGGTGTTAATGGGAGAAATGATTCTGTACTACAATAAAACTGAAGACAAGCCCCTGGACATAGAGAAGAACCAGATATGTGCTGCTAAAGTGGAGAACAAGTGAGTCAGGAATCACTTACTGTAATATTCATATGGAATGGCAGATATTCAGTCCCTCTACCCTTCTTCCAGCTGGTTCCGTGTCTTGGTAAAAGGAGTTCTGACCAATGGGTTGGTGTCAGTGTATGAGCTGGACTATGGTAAACATGAATTGGTCAGCTGCACCCAGCTTCGACCTCTGATTAAGGAGTTCAGGCAGCTGCCATTCCAGGGAATCACTGCTCAGCTGGCAGGTAAGACAAAACAGGTTGTTGGTATTAGATGATTTGAATAAAATGCAAATGTAAGACTAACATACCTTTCTCTCAGTTTTACTGCATCATGGATTCATTTTATTTTGAAAACTTAAAAATAAACGCAATTTAAAGAGTAGAGCCCTTAAAAAAAGTCGCTGTCTTTGTCAAACGGCCAGAATCCTGGACAGACATCTTGTGGGCTGGACTCCCATTTAAATAAAATAAAAATCAAATTTTTGTCTAACATTGTTATCTGATATTTATTTGGAATACAGCAGTGATAAGTAAATCAGTAAATCCTTTAACTGACTTTAACTGACCTTTGCTCACTGACCGCAGGATTGAAGCAGAGACAGTGGTCAGAAGAAGCTTCCATCGTCTTCAGGAACCACGTGGAGAAGAAACCTCTGGTGGCTCAACTGGAAGCCCTGCAGGAAGCCACAAATCCATGGGACAGGAAGTTGACGGTTTTCCTGGTTGACACCTCACAGGAAGAAAGAGACATCTGGGTGCATGACATCATGGCTGAATTTGCTGAAGAGTTAACCAATGAACTGTAGAGGAGAGCTACAAATGGTGCGCGTGATAAAGGTGTCTTTGCTAAAATAGGAATGATGGGAAATAGAAAAATAGATAAAACTAACTGATTAAAATAAAAATTAGTGAACATGATTTCAAGTAGTATTTTAAAATGTATGGAATTAAAGAGAGTTAAAAGTAAGTGAGGACTCACGACAAACTGGGTCGCAGCTGCATTTTAGCTGCGTCTGCGTCTGAACAGAAGAGGATGTGAGTGAATGTGATTTTGAATGACTGCAGTGTGACCGTCAAACAGTAAGCGTACATTTTTTCACAATAGCCTCACATGCTGTGGAAATGAATAGTGCTAGGGTTTGTTATGGACTTAAACTAAAGTTCACTATTATTTAACGTCATACTGTGGAAGTCACATGTTGTGAGAAGAGCTGAGACCCCAACAATGTGATTTCCATGCAAAGGGAGTATAATGTTGAAATAAACTCAGCGGGTACTTAATAAAAAAAAAAATTTGTTTACAAAAGCAGTTTTTTCGATAAAGCAAACATTCCCCCCAACAACAGAAGAGTCGAAGTGCTACAGGCGCAAACAAGCAAAGTTAGTGAAAATGGACTACTTTATTTTAACAAACGGTTTGAGAAGATGATGACTCATGAAATCACAAACGTGCTGTGTTTCTTCTTCATTCTTTTGATTTTTTTCCCCCCGATACATCCAGGCAGTACATACTTTCAAGAAGTAAGTAACAGAAGTTGAGGATTGTGCTATTAGTTAGCACCATAACCACTGTTTTTTGCAATGTAGCCGAGGGCCTGACTGTGAAGTTTGCACATTTTTACCAAATGCATTAGGGCTGTAACACACGTCTAATCACACCACATGGTGTGGATAGAGTGTGAATCCATTAAAACTTGTATTTTTGACTTGGTGTTATTTGATATTTTGGGATGTTTTTGGTGTTACCCCTGATGATTGGCCTGATGTGGGATTGTTTTTCTTCCCTTTCATAACTTAATGTTGATGTGTTTATGCTTTTTAGAAACAGACAAAGCTCGAAGGTGCATTGTTAACACATGAAGCGAGACTAATACATTGTATTTCACTTAACTTATGTTGTCGACAGTAGAGTTTAATCACATCGGTCAGGAGTTAATAAAGTTTTTTTTTCAGTTATTAACTTCACTGTCTGATGTGATGTGTTTTTTTTTTGTTACTTCCAGTGAATAACAACAAGTCCTTCTCAATCGAATTTCTTTATTAAAATAGAAAGGCATTTGTGACCATATTTACATTACTGTAGACCAGTGTGTACCACGAGTGGTGCGTGAGTGCTCTCTAATGGTACGCGGGGACATGGTACATTGGTATTGCTACATCTCTCCTGTGGTGGAAGCTAACAGGGAAGGCCTATGCTGCTATATTCTAATGTTGGTCATCATGGTGGTACTCAGAGAGATCAATGTTTTCTTAGGTAGGAGTATAAAAAGTTGGAGAGCCACTGCTGTAGACCAACTGTCTTAAACATTTTAACATTTACATACTACTACTGCTACTACTACTCAAGCAACCTTCCTGAGGTTATCATACTGTAATGTGATTCTTTTTCTACTGTTTCTGTTCATATTGTCTTCCTATCGAATGGACAGCATCATCACAAATTCTGAAAAAAGAGAAAAAGCACACCAAGGTTCTGTCAGCATTGTCGTATCTCACTGAACTGTAGTCACTACACCAGGCGTGGGCAAACTTTTTGACTGGCAGGTCCTAAAATTTGGCAGGGTCAGGAGCAGATAGATGAAGCGTTCGTGTGAACTAAGAAAAATTACATAAAAAATAGTTGTGCATAAAGGCTAAAATGCTTTTAGTCTTTTCTCTGCCATCTATTAGGGAACTGCAATCATTGCAGGGCAAGGAGTAATATAAATGAATAAGATATTTTGGACGTATGGTGGGCTGGATTAAAAGCCAAATGGGCCACACCCGGCCCCAGGGCCATAGTTTGCCCATGTCTGCACTAGAGCATTTGTGGTATATATTTGCGTTGTAATTCTCACCTTCAATGGGTGTAATTCTCACCTTCAAAGTCAATGTTTCCATCTGCATTTACATCTAGCTCCTTGAGGATCTCCTCCAGCTCTCCTTTCTTCAACTTCTCTCCTAGCAGCGTCTTCACCGCCTCCTTCATCTCATCCTGGTTGATCTTTCCATCACCATCCAGGTCAAACTACCAAAAGCAAAATTTTGATTTTTTTTTTTCAGATTCATCTAATAAACCATCTCTGTTCTTCTGAGGCTAATCATCAGACCTGTAAAAATGCAGACTGCAGCTCCTTTAGTCCTAGCATATCAGCAGTCTCTCCCATCATCCTCGGGCCCATCAGCTCAATGAAATCCTCAAAGTCCATCAATCCTCCCACTGTGATGGGGAAAATAGGAAAGAACCATTCAATGACCAACAAGAAGAAAAATGAAATATCTATCTCACTGATTTCAGCACCAAATGTTGCTCTCAAAGATCCTTTATTGGCTCACTTCTCATCTTGATTTGTTGCACTATCTCCAGCAGCTCCATCTCTGTAGGCATGTATCCCATGGTCCTCATGCATTCAGCCACATCCTTGTAGTTCAGGTAGCCGTCCTGGTCGTAGTCAAACTCCTTGAAGGCCTCTTGAAGCTCTGGGAGAGATTTAAGGGGATAAGTGTGAATTAAAAAAAAAAGTCTGATTCTCTATCCACCCTGGCCATGAAGCTCTAATTTTAAACAGGATGATGAAGGTCAACATATGCAGTTCTTAAAATAATACAAACTGTAATGACACATTACCATCAATCTCAGCTTGAGCCAGTTCTCTTTCCTGCAAGAACAGAAGTAAGACACTTCATGTTATTCTATAGAAAAGGATGGAAATAATAATAAAAACAAAAACAAGTTGACAAAAACAAAACAACCAAGCCCTTCACATAAAGAGGCTCGTCTGTATATTCAATGTGCATTTGTGTCATTATTTGATTCTTCAAAATGACAACACCCACTGAGTATATGAGAATGCAGACATTTAGCAGACAAACCACAAATGCCTTGTCTGAGATCTTCAACCTAATGAAACGTGACATTAATACCCATTAAGGAGCTGTTAATACAGCTGACACACGGATTAGCTGGGTGGAGATCAGAAGCAGGACTGTAAGTTAAATGCAATGCCTGTCTCTGCCACTGCTGTATTATCTGGAAACCTTAGCATTTACATAGAAATATTATCATTTATAGATTTTGTGAAAATCAAAATCTCAATTCTAAATTTGGCCAAGCAACCTTTGGTAAAACTTTTTGTAAACAGTACAAGAAATGAAAGTGTGCAACATCTACTTACAGCTCCGAATACACTGCTGAGCACGGAGATGTAGACTTTGTTCATACTCTCTGTTTTTTTCTTGGACTTTTTTAATGATTTCTTTGGCTTTTCAGACACTGAGCCTGACGGGGAGTCTCCAGATGAGGCAGATACGTGGTCTCCATCTTTGCTAGAATAAAGAAAAACAACAATGATGTGTATTATATTACATATTCAAAGAGTCCATGCTCCAGTTAGGCTTTAATATTAGAAAGTTATTTTATAAGTCCACTACCTGTCTGCTGAGATTGAGGTTGCAGAGTTTGTAGAAGATGTTCTCTCTGATGCTGTTGACATGCTGAAGAGAGTGTTGTTGCTATATTAATAAAAATAATGAAAAAAGCAAAACAAACAAACATCAGAAATCTGTAACTCCACATGACTAATCACTGAAGTGTCTCCACCTTCCTAATGCTGTGCCCACTTACTTCACTGCAACATTCTCACCTTATTTCGTCTCTCCGAGAAGGAAGAAAAGAAAACAGCCGACGCCTAGTGGTCCTCCATGTATGGAACTTCTACTTTGCTGCTCTGTTTTTCCTTCTCCACTCTTGACCTTCCTCCATTAGAGGCTTAACAGGTAATTGCCTGGCTGAGTGTGTGGCCAGTGATTAAGAAGCCAAACATGTAGAAGCCTAACCTTAAGGTCTAAAGGACGATTCAATTTCATTCCTGTTTTGCCAATTAAAAAAAACTTTACTGAATGGTCTCCATTTATAGTTTAAACAAGGAATAAAAGAAGTGAGTACAGGAATTGACATGCTGGGTGCATGCTTGATGTACTGCGCATGCGTACAAACCCATTGACTACGTCATCACTTATACCCTCCCATACATTCAGTATCGGTATGCAATTACGATAGGTAGAGTTCACCTATCAGACTTTGACACAATAAGTTTTATAATGGAAATTTAAGACATACATATTACTTAAATAAATTAAATAAAAAATACTCGACGCCGCGGAGGTTAGCGCTGCAGGACGGAGAGCACTGGAGTAGCGACGCAAGTGCAGCACCGGACGCAGGTGAGCGCAATTGAAGTAATTCAGCCTCTCCATACATTAATAGTATGAGTAGGAGAGATTATTTTTGCTATATATTTACTGTTTAATCAAACCATTTACTGTGTACTGGTACAATACAGGGATATTATGCACGGTTAATTTCGAACAAATGAAACAAGAAGGAAAATACGTGATGGACAAATAATGAGTTGCAATCAGCCATTTTAAAGTCATTAAAAACACCCACTGTTGAAGTAGCTTGAATCCACAAAAGGTACAGTAACTTTAACATTTAGTTTATTTCAAATAAAAATAACCGCTATACATGTTTTAATATCCTTGTATGTTGACCTAACTGCCATACGTTTTACTTTTATTTATTTATTTTATTTTTAACCAAATATGACCAATCTGCTCTCTGGAGCCTACTCCACCAAGAACATGATCTTTAACCGCCTTCCCTCTCTGGACAATTTATGTAAATAGTAATGTGTTTGCAAACATCTCCCGAATAATATTGTGGTCACCCACGAACACTGTGTGAATTGCTTTCCCAAATTGTTGTTAATAAAACTGTTGAATGCAGTAATCTGTTTCACCGTGTGCTGCATTGGGGATCTATCGTCGATTCGGAGGTCCGATAGCACATTATTTCCATGCTCGCATAGGTTCGAACAAATTCCAGGTCAAAACTAAAAAAAAAATAAAGATCCTAAATGTTGTGTTAAAGAGAGGTTCTGTTTTCAAAGACATGTTAAATAGAATATTGTAAAAATAACAACACTCCTACAAATTCAATGTCCACAGAATACTGCGAAGTGCAATGGTTATGGTTATCCACTAGGTGGCAAAAAAGTAAATTAAACGGAAGGTGAAAAATCTTGCGGAAATCACTATTCAGTCAACTATATTATATCCAGAACAGAATAGTACCCCGATTAAATCATCGATCAAATTTTAAATCCCGAACTTCATAATAACGGATATAGACACTGTACAAGCCAAAATGGTGTTGGCTTGTCGGTGTATAAAATAAAAAAATAAAAAAATAAAATAAAAGTTTAAAACATTAATTATACAAAGGGATTTGTATTTGTAAAACTTAAAAAAAGAAAAGAAATATCATTCACAGTTTGTTTTACACAAAGAGCTCTACATAATTGTTTTGGTACAAAATAAATGTAAGGATACATTATTCATAGTGTTAATAAAATCACCAGTGAGGTGTTTTTTTAGTTTAACTATTTGTTTAGTCTAATAGAAATCATGTTATATTCATGATTATTTTTTATTTGAAGAAAGAAAATTGCCTTTTTTAACTCTTGACTTTAAACCACTCAAATTCTAATTCTAGTTGGTCTGTAAATATTACTTAAAACTATAGATTTACTGGGTATTTACTAAGCTATATATGACATTCCCTAACTTACCAGGCATGCTGGTGTAATTTTGATTATCTCCACCTTATCTTTCAGCCTGATCCCTGCATACATTGTATTTAATCTTGATTATTTTTACCTTCCTGCCATCTCACACCCACACCTTTGCCTTCCCATTGATATCGCCACCTTCTCTTCCTCCACAGCAGCCAGCGCCAAGGCCACGGTGCTGTGAGGCAGGCAAGTTTTTGTACACAGCACGACTGTAGGGGATAAAACACAGGCCCAACTGGAGATGTCGGGCCAGGCGACAGTACGCAGCCAATGCCAGGACCAGTAGAGGGGTCAACAAAAGGAAGCCCACCACCAGTAGAGCCACACAGCCACCATCAGTCAGCAGATCTGCGCAATAAGGTGTCGTCTCCTGAGGTCTAACCTGAGAGACAAGACAACATTTGTATCAAGGTGATGAAGGTCAATTAGACAACAGTAACATTCAGGCACAATTGATTTATTTAAATGTATGGTTTTAGTATTTAAATACTAGGGATGTCCATATGCCCATATTGTCCAAACACTTAATTCCTGATTCCGATATAGTGGGGCAGTGGTGGAAGTTAAGTGTTGCCTGCTCACTAAGGTTATGGGGTAAAACAGTGATTTTCAATTATTTTCTGCCCCCTAAGAGACAGAACTAAAATACTATTGAGTGCCTGGTAATATATATTTATTTATCTGTACAAACCACTGTAAGAGTTGCTGGCTCCAGCATTCTGCATACAATCCCTGGATTATCACTATAGATTAATAATATGAGCTACAATGCTGCCATCCAGTGACTAGAGGCATTTGTTATTGTGACAGTTGGGGAAGAAATGTTTATGTTCTGGTATAATGTTTTACTTTTTCTGATGATTCTTGGGTGCCTTGACGCACCACGTTGTAGCGCACATGCGCAGTGTGTTCTGTTCATTGCGTTGGGCCCAATGGCTTGGTAAGTGCTGGTCAAGTTCTACTCCGAGCAATTTGGTGTGCACTGTGGCCGACAACAGTGCTGATTACAGATGAGATAATAAACCGCTTTCTGATAAAATAAAGGTGGCCTCTGCCTCATTTTAACGCTCCGCTACATTACGAAGGAGTTAACAGTTGTGGTTATGGGAGAGGGAGTGAGGGTGCATCGTGAGAGTGCGTATTTGTATGAGGAAGATTTTGGAAAAGCTGTGTTGAGGGCAATAAAGTAGTTAAGCTCGAGTTACTGCAATTGTGTTTCAATAAAAGTTCTTTAGAGCACTGAGGCATCTGACTGGACTGTCGCAGGGGCATTGTATTATTTTTAGTGCACACATCATTTGGCGAAAACCCACGTATTGCGTTATTGGGTTATCGAAAGGAAAAAAACTAATAACGATTCTTACAGATATTACAAAATATGCTAATATCGGGACGATATTATCAGACATCCCTATTTAATACCCCCAAATAACTTCAACAATGAAAACATGTAAAGCAATGTAATTGAATTGTGCCTTTATTTATAGCATCAACCATTTAAATACTGGCCCAAAGTGCTGGAATGCCAGATAAGAATGAGAGATAATGTGCATATGTGGTATGTACGCATATAGTGAGGAAGAATGCCAGTGGACAGATGTGTGTGTTTTGTCTCTGGTACATGAAAGCACTGATCCTCGTTGGACAAAATAGAACTGCTTCATGAAGTTGTTGAGACAGCTGCGGCTATTAAGATCAGTGACTGTCTGGTACCGTCAAACCTGCTGATTCTCATGCACAGCATCAAGTCAGGTCACTTGTCTTTGAGTGTTAACATTGATTGGACCAGTGGTGGAAGAGGTCAAGGGGTCAGGATTTAAGTGTGGGGGAGAAACAGGAGACATCGGCTTTCACTCACCCTTATTGCCTGGTGAGGAATGGAGTGAACTTTAAAGTGCATGTGGTAACTAAAGGGAGTAGAAAGGTTTAGGGAGTGAAGACAGATCTGGAGGGAATACTGTTTTTAATCATGTAAAATATGTGTAACTTAGTTACTTATCTATTGTTTTTTAAAAATCCCAGATATAAATGTTGAGCATTGTCAAACTAATGTGTTTTAAAGCACGATTATCTTTGCTTAATAGATTGCCTGATCATGAAACAAATATTTTCATATTATAGTCATTTTCATTTCCTGTGTCAGAGATGCATGTTTAAACAGAGGCAAAATTCAAACATTGGCAGCAGATATTGCAGCAGATAATATTCACATGTTTTTACTTGGCAAGGCCTCACATATGGCTTCAGTTCTGAGCCAGTCTTTATAGCAAAAGACTTTTGGTATATATTTTGCTTATGCCGCAGCATTGAGTGTGAACTGAATTGAGTGTAAGTGTATTTATAATGTAAACTTATCTAGTAATAGATCCCCAGATACTAAGATTATTTTTTTCTTTGCTTTTCTTCTCCACCTGTGTTTTCTGTTAATTGCTCTCCTTTTTCTAATGCTCCCAGGTCCTAGGTAAATCCTCTTTAAGCTCCAGTCACATGAGGACCAACTGTGAGGGAGCAGGAGGACGCAGTGGATCTTCGAGCTCTTCAGTCGGTAAGTGCCTTTATATTGAAAGCTTTGAACCATAATGTATTTCACTTTAGAATAGTCTTGTATTACATATGTAAACATTGGACACGTCAATGCACTTCAAATGATCTGTTTGTTCTTCAGGGCTCTAATCACCTAAGCTGCCTTCAAAGTTTTAGACTTCCATCCATTTCAAGACTGTCCACCCAACACTCAGCCCCGAGCTCAACTGTTTTAACTTTTTGACTTAAAGTTTGCGATTTGAAGTTAATGATGGATGCAGAATACAAACACTGGTGGCTGTCTGATGAGCAGTGGTGTAGTGGTGGAGTTGAAGGGGCTCTTAATCGCTTTAATGTAATGTTGAGGCCAATTTCCAGTTTCGTCGTTTGTTTTATATATAGCCACCACAAACTACACAGAGAAGCAGTTCAAAGACTGCTTACTCATACCGTTTGATACTGGACGTTTGGTCAGATGGGTAGTACAATCAAGTTGTACACGTAACTGGGGTAATGCATTACCGGGGTAATACAGAGGGGAACTGAGTGACAACCTATGTATTCCCCTGGAACACAATAGTGACCAAAGATAATTGTCACTTGTAAAGCTATTCAAGGAACTTCCTACAGCATGTAGCTGAGCTGAGGAAGTGATGACAACGTATTTACACTTCTGTCTACATTATAAGATTATTAATCTTAATTTTATTACTACAGTATACATGTTAGCAGTAGGGGGCAGCAATACTGAGACATATTTTATAAAGCTGTTTAACAATCTAAATATTAGTCAATAAATGAGTTATCATACAACATCCCCTTCCTTACTGTAGAGTGGCAGAGGAAGCCAAACACCACCATGACGATGGCTGGTGTCAGGATGCTGCCAAACACCAACCCAGCCAGGCAGGCATTAATGGCAGCAATCACCAGGTTCTGAGCCGTCACCAGCACAGAGCAGGCCCAGCAGTCCAGCGAGCCTCTGAGCTCCAGCGGAGCTTCATCGCCGCCTTCTGCAGCCGAATATGGAGGAGGTACGACCACACGGGAGGGTGTTTCTCTCTCACCACCCACTGCAGCTGTGGAGGCCACAGAGTTGGAGTGGTGGAGATGGTGGAGGTGGTTGGTGTAATGGTGGTGGAGATGAGGCAATTGCTCCTCAGAAAGGTCCAAGGCCTGATGGTGGGCCCCCTTCTCTAGAGTACCACTCATGTTGAGCTGTGGACAGAAAATGCAGTAAATGAATGAAATAAATGTAAACAGAATTGTTTCAGTTCTCATCAGGAGTGAATTGTAGATGTTCCTTCCAGACAGATTTACTGTAAAAAATAAATCATGAACCAGCACCAGCACATACAAAAAACTTTATGATTTCCACAACTCCCCCTCCCCCCTTTGTGTTCAACTCCTTGACTACTGACCTTGAGTTCAGAAAGATTTTATCTGCCAGGAAGTGGACCTTGTGACAAAGTCTGTGAGGGGGTGATTATGTGAGCTGGCCAGCTTAGAGGACGGGGCCCTGACTGGCGCTGTCTAACATTGTACAGTGAACATCAACAAATCATAATACATAAAAATGTGAAAAATATCCTAGCACTAGAATATGGTCAAAATAAAAATGATATATTAACATTTAATGGTATTATTTGTGAAAAATACAGAGAATTGGGTCAGAATTCCATACCAGAATCCTATTGTCACCTGGAGATTCAAATTTGAGAAATTATCAAAGAAATACTCGAATTTATAGTAAATAATTGTGGAAAAAATAAAAAAAAACCGTCTATTAAACAGTGTTTTTTCCCATAATTTTAAGTTTCCCTTCATGGTTTATTGATGTTATCCTGTACTCTGTGCCATCATTTTCGAAATGACAAGCAGGTCTGCAGCATGTGCAGTGCACAGCTGTGTTTGGTACAGGATATCCTCACATGCTCTGTAGAGCATGTGAGGATAATGAGGATAAAAAACAGTGATAATTCATCAAACGGTAAAACAGTAAAGTTCCACTGGCAAAAAAAAATACATTGTAGAAAAATGCCAGTCTGGATAATATTTAATTAAATGTAAAAAGCAAACTGTTTTGTAGGTTAACTCACTTGATACAGCTGGATTATTCAATACTAAAAAAGGTCTGTTTTTCTTGAAATTATTTATGATGCTGCCATGGTTGGTTTGACGTTGTTTATCGTGGCTCCTGTCCTCCATTGTTATCCCAAGTGTTAAAGTGGAAGGTCAGACAGGAAGGACTGGCAGGAAAGAGGGTCATAGTGCATGTGTGCACTGAGTGAGTCACAGAAATACTAACCTAAATTTATATTGTCTAGTCGCTGTTCTCATAATTATTTGTTTTTATAAATAACACTTTGTCAATGTTTGACATTTCTAATTTCCAAGTCACTTTATAGTGTTTTACAACATGATGAACTGTTGTCTCTTAAACATTGCCATCACTGATTTAAGACTCCTATCATTATGTGCACATACCATCATTCTGCTAAGCTACTTTATATCATGTCATTGTGGTTCAAGGAGCCTCCTATTGTTCTATCATTTTTTGGTTCTTTTGTCTGGAACAATGAAGCAGCAGCAGCAGCAGTAATTAGTTCAGTTTCTGGGACATCTTTGAGGTCTGCTCTCTAAAACTTGTTCAGACAGTGGTTTTTATTTGGTATTGCCTCGTTGTAAAAGCTATTACAACCCATTTTCTGTGCACTTGTTGCACCCATTTGCCTGATAGTTTTCAGTCCAACAGAGTGATTTCAAAGTAATGCAGCTGTTCTTGTACTCACAGTGTGCTGTATGGCCCTGTGGACCTCTTGCTGTTCCTCCTCCAGATTCCTGCCTTTTTATTTTACTTTTCTTGAGACCACTGTTGTCCAGGCAGTCCTCCACACACACGTTGTCCCTTCACACTTTACAAAGCCCTGGTACTCTGTCCTTTCAGCTCTGGACTTGTCAAAAAATGGACTTGCTTTTCTCCTTCTTTGTTGTGTGACGTTAAAAGAGCTTTCCCTCTGTTTGGAGTGTTATCTATTGAGTGCTGGTATGCTGAATTCCTGCAGCTCTGCTCTCCTGCTGCTTCTTCTTGCCACTATCCAGAGTTGTCAGTGAAACTGATAGGGTCGCACCTTTTTTTTTCCTCCAACATGCAACGCCAAGTTCTCACTCTTCTTGTGTTGGAGTTGAAGCAAACAGAAATTTTTCTTCAGCTGCTCATTTCCACTCCACTTGCAGTTTGCCTGCTCTTTGTCTTAAGTATGCCAAACCTCGTTCTCTCCACCTCCTTTCACCCTCCCCACCCCCCAAATCTCACTGTGCCCACATGGCTGTCTCCCTCCCCTTCATGCACCCTCCATCATCCCACTTTCTCTCCTCCCACTAGGCTTATCAGGACCCCAGCCCCCCTCCAGCTTTCTACAAAAACTCCTCAGCAAATGTGTTCCAGAACTGCTGTCCAAGACAAGTTACACCCTGCATTACCCTGTCCTAGCTGGGGCAGGGGGTGAGGGTGGAGGGAGGGTACATGTTGCATGTTAGGTGTTAGTTTCTCTGATAAACTGAGATTCGGGAGACCAGAAATGAGGGGGAAGGGCAGCCAGGGCCAGATTTTGGTGTGTGTTTGGAGAGGCAGAACAAAGTGTTGAACACTTAATTCATGCTGTTGGGCTCATTACATATAATATAAAGTGGGGCTTCAAGATACGAGTCTAATCCGTTCCACAACAGCACTCGTATGTCGATCCACTCGTATTTCGATTGCATTTTCCCCATTAAGAAATAACTAAAGACCAATGTATTCGTTCCAGTCTCCTAGAAATGTACTATTAATTAATTAATTTAAAATTCCCCCCATCGAAACATCAAAAACATAGATATAAATGGATATATTGATAATATAAAATAATAATAATTAAGAAAACATTTTATATTATTGCTATAAAATGGGTAGGGAGTGAGGGACAGTGAGCGAGACAGTGGTAGTGGAAAAATGGAGCTTGGTTGAGCTTTGTTGAGCACTTGTAATTACATGTTTCTTCGTATCACGAGGAGAATCGTGAAAAAGTTGCTTACTTGTTACTTGGAAAACTTTGTGTTTCGGGTAGCTCTTATCTCAAGGCCCCACTGTAGCTGTAGAAGACAAGTGTGGACAGAGGACAAAGACAATAATAGTCATCAAAGTCAGTGAACACCTACAGAAGACATCAGTGAGGCCTGAATCGTGTCTAATTGTAATATCTGGTACCTTACTTTGACGCACTTGCACAACTGTCCTCATATGTGGCTACACCTGTTGCATGTTTAAACATTACCATAGCAAAAACATTTTTAACATGTCAAAACTCTTTATACAGAGTGGTCCCAATGGACAAACTTTTACTTGTTCTCCTATGTCTTCCTGTGACTGAAGCAGTAATGACCTTGATGCTCTTGAAGCCCTTTGACAGAGACAGAGGTTAACATGTGGAGAATGACATCTTGTTAGGAACTGGTTAGTATTGCATTAGACTAGTAGTGATATTTTGAGCATGTTAACTGGTAGATAGCGTGGTCCTCTGCTATCATGGATTAATGGCTGGGCTGGGCTCAACTCTTTGGCTAACTATGTTTCAAATGCATATTACATTTAGTAATTGTGTTTAGTTCTCCACAAAGATAATTTTACTTTTACAACAGTATAAAGAATGACATTAGGGTTGTTTGTCCACAGCTGTGTTAAAAGGCCTGGAAATGTAAAGTGCTTAGAGGCTGAGCAGGATGATGTTAGTATGAACTTTGTTTGACCTGTGATACGTTCTGCGTAATCAGCATTATTGGACATCACAATTGAGATAAACTCAGGCTAGTGTACAGGCAGGATCGAATGATTAAAAGAGAAAGACGACGTAATCATTTCAGCGATAAACGATCACAGCACCAGCTCAATAATTATGTGCTTCTGATGCAGATTGGGTTCCTCTCCTCCTTCCTCTGCTTTGAGCTTGAATATTTATTTACATCCACTATCTTTGGTTTCCATGTAGTTCTGTCTTTTATGTTGTCCACGTGTAGAAACCTCAAGAGCAAGGACCTCACTGATCAGATGATTTTTATCATCGCACAGATTTTGATCCGGTGTTGCTGTTATGTCACTGCTCACTAAGGCGAGGTCTCAGATCAAAAAGGTTCCTACACAACCTTTCATCTTGGCACATGTTCTGCATTTCAATGTAAATAAATTCCAGAGATCCCTCATGATAACACTACGTGGTTGTTGATACATTTTCTGTCCTCTCATTCTCTCGTCAGGAACCTGACTGCAGCATGGTGGACAGACAGACAGGCGGGTGGACAGAACTTCTCTTCCTGTGTGGTTTGAAGCAGGATTTCCTCCAGTTTTTACGCCCCCCCTCCTCCTGACCTTGTGGCCTCTGGCTTGACCTTATGGACAATCTACACTGTGACAACAGGTAATGCTGTTCTGGGGAAGAACCTTAGATGTTTATAGGAAGCAGACTTTGTGGTAAATCGAGTTTTCTTCTGTAAAATATAAATGCTAAGATAGGCACTAGTCAAAATCTGGACACAGTCATTGAATTCAGGCTGCAGACTGCACTAAATGAGCTTATGGTTCTCGATGGACGCAGCTATTGACTGCGGTCCATGCCCCCTACTGACTACTGTCAAGATTCCAGGGCAGGCTCTTAGACCAGGCTCTTTTGCTGACAGTTGAAATGAATAACAAAGATCTAGTCTTTGCATAGTCGAATTTTTTAGCCACACTTAGACCCTATGTGATAGTATAATTAATGCAGTTGTACATTATTGCTCCAGATGAACGGTGAATATTGTTTGGTTTCTCTTAGGTGAACATTTTATGTTAGTAAAAATATGTCTAGAGTTTTTAAAGTTAACTAACTAAATTCAACATCACTATGCACATGAATCAAACTTTTCTGTGCTATGGAAAGATGATTTCCCAGTTTCCAAAACTAAACAGGAGGCAAGCTTAAAGATAACACATTTATGCAGTGGGTCCTCTCGTGTGTGTTTGTATTTGAAGGTTAACCTGGTCGATGCACTTTTAACTTATGACAAAGCAGTCATGCGACTTTACCCTGTTATTTCCTGCTGCGCTATCTGTGCAATTCTGTCCCCGTACAATCTGCTTCCTTAGTTTAACTTGGATGTTTTCATCTGAATGGAAACTTTTTTGTCTGTGCCTCATTTTCTCACACACAAATCTAACAATAGCAAGGACAGGACTCACATTATGTTAAGTGAAAAAGAGTGCCAAATCTGAGGGGCGTGGCTTTGTTTGTTATTCTAAAATCTTGAATGGATTCAAAAACCTTGTTGTTGCTGTAGAAACGTTTGTTTAGACTCACTTTAGCAGTTGTATTGAAGTGATGTTCTTATGTGCTTACACTGTGCCCTGATTCTTTCATTGCGTTTCACTACCAGAACCAGCTATAAACTGCTGTAATTTCGTTCAGTCTTTTTAGACTTTTGCTCATGTTACTTGTTAAGCCAGCCACTAGGGTACACAAAGCCGTGTTTATAGTGCCGGTCCCAAGCCCGGATAAATGGTGAGGGTTGCGTCAGGAAGGGCATCCGGCGTAAAACGTTTAGCTAAATCAAATATGCAGATCAATAAAACGATTTCCATACCGGATCGGTCGAGGCCCGGGTTAACAACGACCGCCAACAGTGCCGTTGACCAACAGGGCACTGATGGAAATTGGACTACTGTTGGTCAGAGACAGAGTCAGAGACAGAGAAGAAGAGGAGGGCGTTTGGTTAGGAGAAAAAGAGAAAAGATGAAGAATAGAAGTGTTAGTCTGAAGTTTGGAACTTTGAATGTAGGTACAATGACAGGGAAAAGTAGAGAAATAGCTGATGTGATGGAGAGAAGAAGAGTAGATATTTTGTGTGTGCAGGAGACCAGGTGGAAGGGCAGTAAGGCTAGAAACATTGGAGGAGGCTACAAACTGTTTTATCATGGTTCAGATGGGAAGAGAAATGGAGTAGGGGTGATCCTAAAGGAAGAATATGTAAGAAATGTGGTAGAGGTGAAAAGAGAGTCAGACAGGTTGATGTGTGTGAAGGTAGAAGTAGAAGGAGAGATGATTAATGTTGTTAGTGGTTATGCCCCACAGGTGGGCTGTGAGTTGGAAGAAAAGGAGAAGTTCTGGAAGGAGCTAGATTGGATGGTAGAGAGTATCCCCAGGAGAGAGAGAGTGGTGATTGGAGCAGACCTAAATGGTCATGTAGGGGAAGGGAACAGAGGAGATGAGGAAGTGATAGGCAGGTTTGGTGTTAGGGAGAGAAACGTAGAAGGACAGGCAGTGGTAGATTTTGCAAAGAGAATGGAAATGGCTGTGGTAAACACATATTTCCAAAAGAAAGAGGAACATAGGGTGACTTACAAGAGTGGAGGCAGGTCCACACAGATAGATTATATTCTATGTAGAAGATGTAATCTGAGGGAGATTAGAGACTGTAAGGTGGTGGCAGGTGAGAGTGTAGCCAAACAACATCGGATGGTAGTGTGTAAAATGACGATGGAGGTGACAAAAAGGAAGAGAGTGAAGACAGAGCAGAAGATCAAGTGGTGGAAACTAAGGAAAGAGACATGTTGTGAAGACTTCAGGAAGGAAGTAAGGGCAGTTCTGGGTAGTGTTGAGATATTCCCAGATGATTGGGAGACTACAGCTGCAGTGATGAGGGAGACAGGTAGGAAGGTGCTAGGTATGTCCTCTGGGCAGAGAAAGGAGGACAAAGAGACCTGGTGGTGGAATGAGGAGATCCAGGAGAGTGTGCAGAGAAAGAGATTAGCGAAGAAGAGATGGGACAGTGACAGAACAGAAGAGAACAGACTGGAGTACAAAGAGAGGACAAGGGAGGTGAAGAGGGAAGTGGCCAAGGCCAAACAAAAGGCATATGAGGAGTTGTATGAGAGTTTGGAAACAAAGGAAGGAGAAAAGGAGTTGTATAGATTGGCGAGACAGAGAAATCAAGCTGGGAAGGATGTGCAGCAGGTGAGGTTGATTAAGGACAGAGAGGGGAATGTGATCACAAGTGAGGAAAGTGTGCTGAGAAGATGGAAGGAATACTTTGAGGAGTTGTTAAATGAGGAAAATGAAAGGGAAAGTAGAAACGAGGAGCCAGAGACTAGTAGGAAGAAGGTAGATCAGGTTAGAAAGGATGAAGTTAGAAAAGCCCTGAAGAGGATGAAGAGTGGAAAGTCAGTTGGTCCTGATGACATACCAGTGGAAGTATGGAAGTGTTTAGGAGAAGTGGCAGTAAATTTCCTGACTGGTTTGTTTAACAGAATTTTAGAGACTGGCAAGATGCCTGATGAGTGGAGAAAAAGTGTTCTGGTGCCAATTCATAAGAAGGGTGATGCACAGAGTTGTAACAACTACAGAGGGATAAAGTTGATGAGCCATACAATGAAGATTTGGGAACGAGTAGTTGAAGCTAGGTTGAGGCAGGAAGTGGAGATTTGTGAACAACAGTATGGTTTCATGCCTAGGAAGAGTACCACAGATGCAATATTTGCCTTGAGGATGTTGATGGAGAAGTACAGGGAAGGTCAGAAGGAGCTGCATTGTGTATTTGTAGATCTAGAAAAGGCATATGACAAAGTGCCAAGGGAGGAATTGTGGTTTTGTATGAGGAAGTCAGGAGTGGCAGAGAAGTATGTTAGTTTGGTGCAGGACATGTATGAGAATAGTACAACAGTAGTGAGGTGCGCTGTTGGGAGGACAGAAGACTTCAAAGTGGAGGTGGGACTACATCAAGGATCGGCCCTGAGCCCCTTCTTGTTTGCTGTGGTGATGGACAGATTGACAGATGAGGTCAGACAGGAGTCCCCATGGACTATGATGTTTGCAGATGACATTGTGATCTGTAGTGAGAGTAGGCAGCAGCTAGAAGAGAACCTAGAGAGGTGGAGGTTTGCACTAGAAAGAAGAGGAATGAAGGTCAGTCGCAGCAAGACAGAGTACATGTGTGTAAACGAAAGGCAGAACAGTGAAATAGTGAGGCTACAAGGAGCAGAGGTGGTGAAGGTGCAGGAGTTTAGGTACTTAGGATCAACTGTTCAGAGCAGCGGAGACTGTGGAAGAGAGGTGAAGAATAGAGTACAGGCAGGATGGAACAGCTGGAGAAAAGTGTCAGGAGTGATCGGTGGCAGAAGAGTGTCAGCTAAGGTGAAGGGAAAGGTTTACAGGACAGTGGTGAGACCAGCCATGATGTATGGTTTAGAGACAGTAGCAATAGGCAGAAGACAGGAGGAGGAGCTGGAGGTGGCAGAGTTAAAGATGCTAAGATTCTCTTTAGGAGTGACAAGAATGGACAGGGTCAGGAATGAGGTCATTAGAGGGACAACACAGACAGGAAGGTTTGGAGAAAAAGCTAGAGAAGCCAGATTGAGATGGTTTGGACATGTGCAGAGGAGGGACAGTGGATACATTGGTAGAAGAATGTTAGAGATGGAGCTACCAGGTAGGAGAAAGAGAGGAAGGCCAAAGAGGAGATATATGGATGTAGTGAGGGAGGACATGCAGATAGTTGGAGTCAGAGTAGAAGATACAGAGAACAGGGAGAGATGGAAATCAATGATCTGCTGTGGCAACCCCTGAAAAAAGGGACAAAGCCAAAAGAAAAAGAAGAAGAAGAAGCTCATGTTACTTGTTTGCTTGAAGTTGCAACATGTGTATCCACAATGCTGCACCTTTATACCGGGAAAAGTGGTTTTTGAGTAACGTTTGCCTTCTCAAACCAATCTGGCCATTTTCTTCATCCCCTATCTCCAAACTACTGAAACAAAAGTAGTCTATATCGTATATGGCCACAAGAGAGCACTCTCTACACCCGTGATAACACAAATTAATTAAAATGCAGATTAAAGGTGGTAATAAAGACGCACCTACTGGTGTGATGCTGAAGGTGAGTCTGACATCAGCCCTGCAGAAGAGGAGGTGGTGGAACTAGTTAGAGTTGTTTTTTTATTTTTTTTTAAATGCAAATTATAGATTGGTGCAATGTTTACTGTATGTCTACTCATTGTGATTTTATGATATTCTAACCATTAGGTGAGATGTATACTACTGCAGTATTATGAAAAATAACAAGAACATAAGGTTAGGTGACATTAATGAACCTGACATTTCTGATTCTGGATTTATCAAAAAGCGTTTAATAGTCATAGTAATGTCACACAATTTCACAAGTGTTTAAGACATGTCTGGCTCAGTTTGGTGTGTGTATGTATGTATGTATGTGTATGTGTGTATCTGCAAGTATGTCTGTGAATTCTCTAAACAGTGCAGTTATAAATAATTGACCACAAAGAGAAGGAAAAGGTTAAGGTGATATTGCAACAGGAAAAAATAGAATTCTTATTTCAAGAAGTCAAAAGAAGGTATTCCAGGAGAACATTTAGCACCATCTATCCTGTTATCAAATTTAACAGATATTATAAAATCATTAAAATCTCATTTAAAAACTCCCCTACATTATAAAAAAAAATTCAAAACACTTTGCAAAAAGCTGTCTTTTTTTTCCTCCATGATGAGTATACAAACACAGCATTCCATCTTCTCTATGTGAGCAGTGTCCCTATCATCTACAGGAAAGGTGGTGTTTCATTAGATAAAGGTGTCGTTAAATATATCAGGAGAGGAGAAATAAAAACAGTGGAGCAGTGGGAGGCGAGCACCAGACGAACAGCAGCCTCCACTCCTGCCAACACAAAACCCCCACATCATAGTTCTGACAGAGCAATGCCTCACCTCACAAACTAATGGAGAAGTTCAAACTTTTAAAACCCCGTTAAAAAAAAGAAGAGAACATTGATATCCAATAAATAGAGAAAATATTAAATTAAATGTACAATGCTGAAAAAAGAGAAAATATCCATACAGGAAAAAGAACACCTGAACAAAAACAACGCAAAAACCATGATTTTCATTCTTCTTCTTTTCATACAGAAACTGAGGATTGAAGACCTGATGATGTGTGACAACTGAACATTATCCTCCAGAGAAAATCAAGGAATCGATAAAAGAAAATCACAAAATTTACAACAAGGAACTGAAGTCTCTCCAAAACAACCAAAGTCATTAAAACCCGTAAGTTTTGAAGCATTCCAAACCATTTGTTTTTAAAATCTTAATGCTTTAGAAAAATGTTCATATCTCTATTATTAGTATTTTTGTAATTTTGTCTCTTCTCTAAATACAAGGCCAATGTGGTATATATCTAGGCTGATCTAGTTTAGAAAAAAAAATATAAATTACTTAAAAAAAAAAACAGCACCACCCACAAAAATTGCAAACAGCTTGTACAAATTTCAGTATTCAAGACAACAATGACATCGGAACGTTCTTTCTTGTACTGACAGATACACGCCATTGAAAGGATTGCCAAGCCTCCACCCTTTGTTCAATGGCAGCACCGACCGCCCCCTGGTTGTCAACTTCACTGTTGCCAGGGTTTGTGTTTGAAAGCACCATCTGAGAGTAAACTGTTGTTTTTTTTTCTTTCTTTACTGGAGGCTTGGTATTTCTTTATGTAAACAGTAATGATGAGTAAACGTATTCTACTAGCTGTTCAGCAAGTATTCGCAGTAGTAGCAAAGATGATCTTTAAATAATTATTCACTGTCAGTTTTAAAAAAACAGTGATGTTTCTTTTTTTGTCCTGTCGTGCAGGAATTTTGGTTATGGCTGAGAGGATGCAGGAGGGGAGCTCCATCACCGGGAGGAAGTAGGGGCCTGGCAGGGTGAAAAAACATATTTATTTCATATATATATATATTTATGAATGAAAGCATCAGGTACACATCACATAATAATGGAACTGACAGTTTATCAAAATGCATATGGAAAAATCTTTGAGCTTTTTTTTTTGTTTCTCACCAGACTGAATGAGTCATAGATGTTCATCAGCTCCTCCATGCGGTACTGCTCCAGCACCACCACGCTGTTCAGGCTGGGACTACGCTGACGTGCACAGTCCTCACAGTGGACCACGTACGTTTTCCTGCTGCTGCTCTCACTCGTCACGAACAACAAATCGAACACCTCCAACTGTGGCAGATACAACATTTATTAATCTGTGGTGATCGAACCTAAAGTTCCCATGACATTTTCCCAGTTCTGTTACTAATTACTTTTACATAAAATGTGGGTTTTTTTATCCAAATAAGGGCAGTCAGCTTTATGTATAACAGTGTAACTATATCTATAACAATTTAAGAAACAGAACAGTCCTTTTGAAGTACAAAGTACTAATTACTCACATCACATTCATTGCAGTAGTAGGCAGGCTCGTCCTTGACCCGACTTTGATAAGAAATCTTCATGCCGTCTGCAACCAGCTGGTCTCTGAGGATCTGGATGTGCTTCATGGACTGCAGCAGACAGTGTCTGGCAACGAAGTAAAGACAACAGCACACTGTGTTAAACCTTGGGTGTTGTCTCATTCTACTTTTCCAATAAAAAACAACAAACTAATAAGTTTGGAGTTGAAGTAGCTGCAGGGCTAACTGATGAACTCACTTCAACATCTTGTAAGTGTCTGGGTCAGTGATCTTGAGTGTGCGGGCCACATTCCAGGACACATGTATCATGGGCACTATGGACTTCACCTTCTTCACTTCATTCCACTCGAACCTCTCCAGGGCCAGCTGGTACTGGTAAGCTGCAGGTGCACATATAGGAACACATTAAAGGATGAGGCAGTTTTTTTATTTAAAAAGAAAACGCTCACTATATTTTGCCACTAGAGGGTGCAGTCTCACCATGTAGAGGCCCCACATTCCAGGCAATGTTGTTGCACCAGCCCACAGCCTGAACCCAGTGAACGGTTCCAGCGTTGATCCACACCAGGTCCCCAGGACGCTGAATGAAGCGATACACTGGGATGTTGGCGTTGTACAAGTCCTCTAGCACAGGCCACCAGGAGCCTGTCAGGTAGTCCACACCATGTCTGGAATAACAAGAGCAAATGTTGTTATGGTTTGAACTTACAAACTGATATACAGAAACAAATGTTTGACCACCACATACTCACTTTTCACAGAAGTCACTGATGGCCTGCCAGTAGTTCTCGTGAACAGAGAACCACTCACAGTCTCCAGGACCAATGTTGATGTTTACTGAGCAGAAGTTATTGTTCTCCTGGTGACCTGATGAACGCATCAACACACAATATTGTCAGCTACAACTTTTAGCTTTAATGTATTTCTAAAGTTGTGCATGGCTATTGTACAACCAGTAAGGAGATACAATCTTGGAAAGTGTTTGTATGGATTTAAAAGCAGAATATTGAGTTGAGGTAGAGGCTGGCTGCACCTCAACAAAGCCAGCATTTAATGCCTTAATGATGAAACTGCAGTCATTCATTTTAGCTTGGTAAGTTAGTGATGTCTACAATACCCAGCTCAAAGGATATATGTTTCAGGTGTGGGTCATGTCTGTTTACCTGGTGTGCGGCTCCCTGGAACCTTCATGTAGAGCTGGACAGTGTTCATCCCAAGGATTGTATGTCCAACATGGCTCAGCATATTTCCATTGGATGAAACTCTCATAAAAGCCGGAAGTTTCTGCAGTTCCTGAAGCTGAGGCTTCCACCTGAACGCACATGAATGAACCACAGGTTAGACTCAGTTCATCCTCATCATCATCATCATCATCAGGATCGTGCTTAAGACTCTGTCCAAGGTGCTAACCTTTTGGGATCCGACAGGTCAATGTTGGTGCCAAATTTAATAATCTTCCCCAGGGGTTTCTGCTCACCACTAAGAAGAAAACATAAAACATGACTTCAACTGTGATAAAATAAAAACAATGTAGGATTAAAAAAAAAAGTCATTTACCTGTTAACTTCTTTACAGCTTTCCTTCAGTGGTGTGTCAGCGCTGTTAGATGGCTTCTTTTCCTTGTCATCATCATCCTCCTCATCATCACTGCCTTTCTCCTCCTACAGACAAAGTTGACAAGGTATAATTGATATAAGATTAATAGTTCCACTGATAAAGAAACGTCTCTGGTTGAATCTAAACATACACAACAGGAGACCTTTACCTGCAGACTCTCTTGGAAGCTGGAGGCCTGGTACTGAGCATACTTGGCAATAGTGGTGTGGGAGCGACTGCTCTCACAGGGCCACGTTTGACCTTTGCCACTGGGGTCCCAGTTTTCATCAGCTGGCTGCTGCACCTGGGTCCTGACCTCCACTGCCTGGTCTGCATTAGCCTCCACCAGGGACTTTGTAGAAAACAGACCCAGGTCTGCTCATAATGAAAGGAAGCATTGTTGAGGAATGTGTGCCATGGTGCAACCAACAAGCTTTCCACTAAATCCACCAAACTGTGACCATTAATTTCTCATCATCTTACTTAGTCTTAGCGACCCAGCGAGGCCCCTGATGACAGTCACAGGATTCTTGGGGTCTGTACAGAACTGCAGCAGCACAGGGGAGAAGGCGTCTCTCTTGCTCTCCAGCTACAGAGAAGAAAAACATGCTTTATCATACTGGGAAGTGTCGTTATTTTCTCGCTAGTAAACACAGAGAGCCAGTACAAATGGGAGAGGCAGTGTGTACAATAACATACATAGATACTGGGTGTAGGAGGGTTGAGTTTCTCTCTAGGTAAGGGTTCCTCTGTGGTCATGATGGGCTTTACGGAAAAAGCTGGAAGCAGGTAGGATTCTTTGAACTTCTCTTTAATCCTGGTTCCCCTGGAAGAGAGAGAACAAAAGATGAAGGTGAGTGGAGGTTGCAAAATAAACTTCTCATGTTTACTTTTGGAGATAGTACGTCATTCTAAACCAAGAGTGTCAAACATATGGCCTGTGGGACATAACCGGCTATTTTGGAGCATTTTGAAAGTGAAAAAAAGCACAAATACTCCATGCTGGTGATGTATTGTCAAATTATATTTCATTAAATATGAATAATTTTTAATATACTTGTAGTTATTTGCAGGAAAACAATGGGGGAAAACATGGACTTATTGTTGCTTATAGGTAATTACATTATGATTGGACTGGTCTCGCCAACTTAACATCAAACCAGGTTGTATGGGGCCCCTGAACCAAAATGAGTTCGATCCCCCTGTTCTAAACAACGGAATTTAGGAGAAGATGGAAAGAGTTTCACTGCACTTACTTGCAAGACCTGATGATTTCACTGGCTGAGTTTTTGATGCTGATTTCTTCCAGTGGAATTCTCTTTTCTTCTACCTCTGAAGCAATAAATGTCTCTCTGTCCCCACTCTCCACTTTGATCAGGCGGATCTTTAGCTCTTTGGGTGGCCCGTCTGACAACGCCTTCAGCTTCATGTAATCTGCGGAAACTAGTGAAGAACCAGATCCTCTCTTGTCTTCAGAAAATCTTTCATCGGAACTTTCTGAGACCCATTCTGCACGTTCTCCTTCACTAGTGCAGCTGCCACTGGACGCTTCCTTGCGTTTTCTTTTGTCTGTATCGTAGTGACTTCTATTCTTCTCCCTTCTCTCCGATCCCTCTTTACTCTGGAGGTTAAGGTCCCCGAGGATTATACGATCTTTCTTTTCCTTGTGGCTCTTGCCATCCCTGTGCCGTTTGTGGCTGGAGCTGGAATGGTTGGTCGAGGAGGACGGCGATGATGAAGACGAGGGTGAGGAAAATGCACTCTCCTCTCTCTTCTCTTTGTGCTTCTTCTTTTCTTTTCTGTCTTCGTGTTTCCTGCTGCTGCTGTGGCTGTGACCGTGCTTCCTCTTTTTTTCTTTACTCCTGTCTTTGTCCCGGTGCCTGTCTTTGTCCCTGTGTTCCTTTACCTTGTCAGATTTGTGGCTCTCACAGTTACCGTGACTGTCCAGTTTACTGAGTGAGTTCTTGTTGGAGAGTGACTGTTGACTGAGCAGCATCTCACAGCTCTTGCCCAGTTCTGCCAGAGAGGACTCTGAGATGGTTGACAGCTGCTTCTCATCCTTGACCACTTTAATAGGTTTGGTGGGAGGAAGACTCTTCTTTTTGATAGATTCCATGATTTCCTCCGTTTTCTCTCCACCTTCTATCCAGATGTCAGCATGTTCCATTTTCAATTTCTTGTCTTCTAGTAGGGAAGCAGAAGACGTTACTGCTGGAAGAGCTGGACTAAAGGGTGGATTGGTGGAGTCTGAAGTAGGAGACCCACTTTGCTGTTGGCGGCAAATATCAGGTCCTAATGACAGAGAGGAAGAATATTTGACTCCAACCAGAGCAGATGGAGGGGGTCTCCCAAAGGGCCCACCTCTGTATGCATACTTCTGGCTCTCCAGAACTGTCGCTAGGGACTTGAACATGCTGTTTACACCTGTCTGGTGTAGGTGGGGTCTTTGAGGGGGTGGGGAACATGATGGGGTCTCAGAATCCTCCTCTTCATCGTCCTCATCAGCTTCGCTTTTCGTCTGTTCAGGGAGACCGTACAGTTTGGCAAGGTCGCTGTGGCGGTAACTGGTGTTACTCTCTCCTGTTCTAATTTCAACTGACTGTTTGGCAGCAACAGAAGACGACTTGAGGTACTCGTCGTCCTCCTCGTTGAGAGAAGACGTCCGACTGCAAGGGGATGCCAGGGAGCCCTGGCGGCTGAGCACAGGAGGACTAGCATGAGGATTGGATCCAAGGTCGTCCTGGTTGGGCTGGTTCTTTGTTGCGGGAACAAGGTCTGGTGCACACAGGTAGCTTTGGACGGTTGGAACCCTGGCGGAAAAGTTGTCGAGAAGACCTGCAGATCCACTCTTCTCTCTGTTGAACATCTCCTCCTCTTTCTTGATGGACTCGTCCAGCATGGCCATTATATTTGCCAGGCCATCGGGGAGCAAGGTGGACATTTCCGAGGGCTCCTCCTCAAACTGAGCACTGTCTGAATCGCTGCCATCTTTTTCCAGACTACTGCCTGTTACACGTTTGCTAAGAATTCCTGCTCTAGACATGGATGACAAAGGTGGTGGGGGAGGGTTTTCTCTGGGGAAAGCCTGATACAGTTTGGGGGGTTCTCTAAGTGCCATTGGTGGGAGAGAGTGCTGGCTGCTCTCCCTCTCCTTGGATGTGTCTTTGGATTGGTTGGGTGCAGCCTGCATTGCCGGAGGCTTGTTTGGATACACCGTCTGGTTCATCCCTGAGGTATTGTGTGTTGATGGGGGACTGAATGTCGTTCCGCCATTGTTGTTCCACATCTCCCGCTGCCTCTGCTTTTCTCTAGCATATTCAGTCTGAGGCGTAAGAGGCGGTGGCCGTAGTCTTTCTGCAGGAGCAGTGCTAGAGGTGGCCTGGCCTGCTGGACAGGGCAATAGTCCACCGCGACTCAGCCAGGGGTACATGGGTGCTGCATGGGAGCTTGGGGGAGATGAAGAAGTAGCAGCGGCAGAAGAAAGGCGGGGGGGGGGGGGGGGGGAGGAGGTGCTCGAGAGCAGCCCTTCCAACTTTTCAACA